CTACACACCCGCTCCCATGGGCATGTCCCTACCTACAACAAATTTTTCGCTTGATGTTGACGCATTCTAGTGTCATCATCATTGTCAGCTGTAACAATCGCGTACTCGTACAGTGATTGTAGCTGCCTCAGTTTCGTTCAACGATGATTTGGAGGGGGGGGAGGTAGCTGCGCTTTGCAGGTGGGAGCTGATAAATTGGTGCATAAATCCAGCACTGTCAGTGGGTTGTCAATTGGAGGGATTGAGAAGGGAGCTGTGGATTGAAGGCAATGGCTTAGACGCATGAGCGCCATTGAGGGCGCGATCGGACCGTGTTTGACAATGTCTCTAACCATTGATGTGGCCCGTCTCTGGGTCCCCATCCAGGAAGACGGCAATGACCAGCGCAGCTGAGTTTGCTGGTAATGGATTTTATATTTCGCTGTCAAGTCATTGCTGGACCACCTCTGGCTTGTTTCCACTCTTCAAACTGATGTCACGCCTACCCCACAAGTGACGCAGGTTCATAAAATCTGCCCTGGCCTTCCCAATCCGCATGAAAATATCATATTTTGCGAGACCACCGAGGCTGGCACAGCCGCCCAGGTAAACATATTCGTCTACTACCTCAATCGGTTCATCCACAAGGATGAGGCCAGGGTTCGAGCCCACCCAGTCTTGGGCGAGACGGCCCAAGTGGTTGGGGGGGGAATTTACTGATAGGAAGTTCCGTGGTTCGAACCCGACCTCTGCCTGTACTTCCCCTGTCTAGGCTTGGGCAACGTGGCAGTATCTCAGCCCTCGTGCAACCTTCGGGTGGCATGGCAGTTAGGCACCGAAAGGGTACTACAGCTGAATGATCATAGCTGAACGCAGTAGCACTCTACACTGCAGGTGTGAAGCGCATGCCGAACCGTGAGGCAGAATTATTTGGCTTGTTTAATGTGTGCATTACCACGGGGTCAGATCCAAGAAGAGCTATGTCGTCTGTGCACTCGATATCTGGGGACACTTCAACCCCACAGGCATTGGGAGTTGATAGTGAGTCTTCCATGGTCGTATCAATGATGAAGTTGAAGAGGGAAGGTGAAAGATGGCAGCCCTGTCTTACACCACTTGACGTGGTGAACTCAGACGAGAGCTTCCCGTAGCTCTTTACACGGCCGCGGGAGTTGGCGTACAGCGTCTTAATGAGGGTCAAGGATTTATGGGAGACACCTTTGCTCCTCGGACACTACCATAGTGCGTGACGGTCCACAGAGTTAAAGACAGCTTTCAGATCAAGAAATACAACCACTGTTGGTTGCTGGAAGCAGTGTCGCTGTTCCAGAATCCGTTGGAAGGTGAAGATATGATCGATGGATCCTCTTGCAGGATGGAACCCAGTTTGGTTTTAACGGGTCTGCCTCTCCATGTGTTCAGTCAACCTTCGAAGAATAAGACCAGAGAGCACCTTTTATGCTACACCTAGTAGGCTGATGCCAGGGTGATTTTCACACAGCGTTCTAGTGTATAAACACTGGAGTATCTGGAGAGTATCTCTCATGTCCGGTCGAGTGACCGATTTTTTTGCAGAGATACTGAGCATCGGTGACGGCGAGTAGAACCTTGTGAAATCTTCGCCGTATGTCCGGACAACAGCTTTGACTAACGAGTGATGGACCTCAATGAAGTTCACAAGATTCGGAGAGAAACCGTCAGCCGCAGTTACCTGTGGCTGCTGCTCACGATTAATCGGTTTTAACGCAGTTAGAAAGTCGATGAAGCATGCTATGGTAGGCTGAATGAATTTGAAACGTCCTAGTATTTGCCGCATAGCAAGCATTTAGTCTACATTGCCTTTTGCATGGCAGAAAGCTTAGTTAAGCTTAGTTCTGGGAAAACGTAACAGAGGGGCTCGAAACTTCTGGCAGCAATGTCAACAGGACTGACTCCACGATAAATTTCCCACACGCTTTATCACTGTTTTTACGACTCGGTAGTAGTATTGAATTATCTCAGTCTCGCGAAACACATTAGATTTTCGAGCCTAATCAAAGCCTCTTGTAGAGTGCTTCGAAATTACTGCCGAGATGCAAGATTTGTAAACCTTAGCAGTGATCCCATCTTCTCCGGGTATTTCACCTTTGTTCAGTTACCAGATGATCGCGATGTTCCTGTTTATTTGCAAATACTTCAGCTTGAAGTCTCAAGTGGGCTATGAGCACCCGAGCAACATACTTCTTACGTTAAGAACCCTAACTTGCCTTCTGGTCACCCCAGTCGCTGGGCTGGCAAAGGGCGCATCGCCTTTTGGGGTTGCCGTAGGATGGAGAGGTTTACATGTTAGGGGCTGGGATTTGTCACGGATTGCGTCTCCAGCGCCAACCGGCTTTTGATCGCGAGCAAACCTCTAGCTTTTGCACACTCGGGTGAACCTTGGAAGGCGACGGAAAACGTGCAGGGTACAGGTAATCAGTAACGCCACCATTGTCGTTAGACTCAAATTGATCTCATCCCTTCAGTCCATCAGAGCTGATTTATGTTGTCTTCCTTGTTGGTTTGGAATCAGGGTTTAGTCAGTTGCCCTAGAAAGACAACTAAGGAGCCTGAAATCCACTTCAACCCCTCGCTTTTGTGAAAACACGTCTGTCACAAGGATCCTTTAGTCAGTTGCCCTAGAAAGACAACTAATGAGCCTGAAATCCACTTCAACCCCTCGCGCGAACATTGCCAGGCGAATCATATCAATGCGACTATCAGCGGATTCCCGGCCAAGCAGTAATCCGTCCGTCCGGTGACTTAGGATGATGCTGATTCATGAATAGCTTGTTGCAACGGCTCTGGATCGCCAGAGATCCCCAGGTTGAAGCGTCTGGAGAGTGGTGGAAAAGCTGACCTAATAACCCCTCATACGTACCACACATCAATTTCAAGCTAGTCTGATATGTTAGTAGCAGCAGGCTAGTTTGCGAATACCGCGGCCTAGATCTCGTCGTCAGCCTTGAGTTCGTCGATAAGGCGAGAGTTATCATGGGGTTGGGGAGAGGGAGAAGGAAAAATGTGAGATAGAAAGAAACGAGCTGTCAACAGCAACACATCTTCGCTTACTTGCTCTGATGTTTGCGGCAATCAGGACGATCCGACTGGTGACACGACGCGACGGTCGATCCGGCATACCAGTGTTTATGGTTGTGGAAATCATGATTGCATGCGGGTCGGAATACTACCTGGGCACCCAAACCTAAACGGGTGGACGATTAGTACCATTAACCAAAGTCTTGGGCTCAAAAGGCTGACCACAAGACAAAAGTGGTGGTGTATGACATCTTTCCAGAAGAAACGGCCTCTATAGATGTTCGAACCTATAACTTGAAAAATCACTAGATTATATTGGTTAGACTTCTAAGCACCTAACAGCTTGGTTTGATAGAATCCACACCTGTTACACGAACTCTCCTCAGGATGATCCAACTGGTCACGTAGGCACACAAACCGTCGCATAATGTTAAGGTTCCGTTTCTCGGTGGCGAAAAACTGATTGATCAATTAAGGCAGTCGATCGTTGTCCGATAAAACGACCTATATGTAGGTTAGATCGATGTGCTCCGACTGTTGCGTCTCAATACCACTGTACAACTATTTGAAATACTTTGACGGTGTGTCTGGAGGACATCCTAATGAATGGTACTTTATCTCTGTTTAGGGACATCCACTGAGGTCAGGGTTCGTAGACATTGTATCTCTGTACATCTTGTATTAGTGTATCCCAGATGTTCCGAATGAGGTCGAGTTCCAGAGTACAGTACAATCTGATCACTCGCTTGTGGTCAGTAAATTCGCGCTCTAACCACTGATCCAGCTCGTCCCATTCGAATTTGATATGTCAAAAGATGAAATAATGTTGACCGCACAACTCCAAGTACATTAGACTATTTCTGAGCGTTATCTGGAGAAAGTGAAACCTTTCAATAAGGGTGAATCCATTTTTGGTGAAAGTGATTTCTCCAACCTCTGCCTCTCGACTTCCCCTGTTTAGTCTTGGGCAACCTGGCAGTATTCCATCCCTCGTGCTTACTTCAGCTTGTATGGCAGCTAGGCACTGAAAGCGTACTACGGCTGAACGATTTTTTTCAACCATGAATTGGCTCGCTCAGTTTCCTTAGGCTGAGGTCAGCGGTCAGGTAACTAGTCAACTAGTACACCTAACCTTATGTTATTCCACAGCGTTGTGAATCGCACATCTGGCCATGTAAAGCCCTAGCTTGTCTTTCCCATTGGGATCTCCGTCAGCATATGAGCCGCTGAAGTAACTTTGACCATACGGTGTCCGCTCCTGCCTTGTAAAGACGTTAGTCGCCAAAACATTGACGGAGATCGAACGTCAGCATGCATGCTGTGAGTTTTTCGTTCCTAGCTTTGAACCAGTCTGTAACCGTTCTGTTTACCCTCAGTGCCTACTGTGAGGATGTAAAGCTAGACAACCCACACTGTCAATTTGCCAACTTTGAGACAGAAACTCAGATACATCGCATACCTCAATCGTCAGATGTCCCTACACATTGCAACATTTGACCGTAACTCTTGATCTGTAATGCTGCTGAACGTTGCAGCTTTTCATATGGGCTTAACCTGGGTCATAAAGTTTTCCATATATTAATTTCCCTGTTTTTTCAATTCTTACTTGGCTGGGAATTTCCGGTCCTACTACTTTGGATAATCACCAATGTTTGTGGATGTCGATGTTAGTGATGATAATGATATGAGTGACGAGGAGTTCAGCCGTAGCATGGTTTGAGTAAGGTTAAGAGTGATGTGAAGATATGACTCCGCACGGTGCTGGATTAGCCAGTATCACATGGACGCTATTTTCTAACCGTCCTGCCTGTGTTTGAGGCTTCTCTGGTCATTCTTAGAATCTATTTGATTCAGGGTAGTTATCGATGTATTCACTCGTCGCTTGTTACTCAGCCCGTGGTATATATTTGGTTAGTGTCCTCCGTAGGTTTGCTAATCTTAATATGATTACTTTTCTGTCCTAGGCTGCACGCATCGATGGATTCTCTGGAGTTATCACGGCTTTAGGAAATATTCTCATACGAGGTGATTTGCTGGTGGCTTCCACGTCTCGTGAACAACTTCTGGAAACAGTGGCAGGTTACAAAGTTGCTCTTCAGGAATATGCAAATGCTATTGGCTATCCTGCTCCCAACCCAACCAGCTCCAAACAAACCCCTCCTTCATCAAATATATCGACTCCGTCTAATCCATCGGCTCCTGCAGATCATTCCGTGCCTGTTTCAGTTCTTTCTCATCAAACGAGTTCAACCATTTCGCCTCACTCTGGTGAACCTGTGGTTATCTCCGAACCAGCTGGTCTGTATACGGGCAACTTGAAGTTTGTTGAATGCCGTCTTTTTCTGTTTGAACAAATGTTGGTCGTTACGGAGGAGGTCAAGCCCAAGCGACGTGTCACGTCTGATGCCTTTGCCCAGTCCACTTACCAATTCCGTGCGGCTATTAACGTTAATAAAATGCGTTATGAAGTGAGTTAATTTTCATGAGCTGCAGTTTTCAAGCGTGATTTTGCCATGTGTATGGCAGCGTTCAGTTCACTCTTCCAAACTATTCCCGTAGAAGTGAGATCCTGGACATGAGGTGCTATTTAGGCAATTCGGTAGTCCATTTTTCCCAATACTCTTATTCGCGCTTCGATTAGGCTAGCATGTGTAACGACTACTTTCTATTGACTGTTCCACTGTTACTATGTCCGTCTCTGTGCTCTTCACCGACACATTGGAGACCCTAGCTTTGTACATGCTCGAGACGGGCACCGATGCTGAGATTGACTTTCCATGAACATGGCCAAAATAAATATAACTAACTAACTAACTAACCGTAACATGCCATGTGTATCTTTTGCGCTTAGATTTCTAGGAATACATGTCTGCGGTATCCAAAAACGCGAAACACACCTTGGTAATACTAGCTGGAGACATAAGTGCACCTTGAGTGTGTCTAATGGGTGGTGTGGGTTTCCAGTCCATTCTCTGTATACGGTGAGCCACGAATGCTTCACGTGAATATCAGTTAGGCGTGTTGGTATTTCCAGAATCTTTGTATTTTGTTTATCTCATTTATTCAGGTTTACACCAAGCTACAGACCCATGCGGCTCTATGTGTGGGTTAGCGTTGAACTCTTGGTTGGATCTAGCCTTCAGGTGTGCTGTTGACATGGCTTGGTGCGACGGGCGAATCCAGAGACATTTATTCAAGTAGTGGTGACGATTTCATTATCATTCGGGTGAATCCCTTGTTTTCTAGCAGCTTCAATTTCCAAGACATTTGTGTACAACTTGGCCTTAGTCTTGATGGCATTTTGTGTGTCGCTTCTTTTGGCAGCCTACTGTTTTAAAACGCTTTGGTCCTGCAAGCGGTGCAGACCTTTGAAATGTTTCTGGATGAGCTCTACGAGGGAAGAACTAGCCTGTTCATACACTTCCAGTTCTCACCCGCACGGCTATCGACGGATCCGAAATGCTCCCAAAGGACTCATGCGAATCTTAGAAATCTGTGATATTCACGAGTTGTTCCGTAGCAGTATTTATTTAAGCACACAACCTATTCACACAGTCTATTTGGCCCGATTACCCTTATCTATGTGCTTGGGCGAGATGGACCAAGTGGTTAGAGCGCGAATTTTCTGACCGGAAGATCCGTGGTTCGAACCCGACCTCTGCCACTCGACTTCCCGTCTGGGCTTGGGCAACCTGGCAGTATGCCAGCCCTCGTGCTTCCTTCGGGTGGCATGGCAGCTAGGCACCGAAAGGGTGCTACAGCTGGACGATTTTATGTGTTTTATTTGACAGGCTCCACTCGATGCATGATGTGTGAGTTTAGGTCCTCCTTTTCTTGATGAATTGCTGATGTCTTTCCATCTGGAAACACTGTCGAGTCAAATTAGTTTCCATCAGCGCTATTTAAAGACAACGGTGCATTCTTATATTCTGCGTTAACTAGTATGTTTGAAATTAGTTGGGGATCAGATGGCATTCCATCAATTGTCATGCCTCCATTCATTAGGGTACATAAGGTGATCTTTCCCTAGACCATGGAGGTGTCACCCTGATATCTGTCATACTGTGAACACTCTTCAATAGCCTAACGTCAGTACATGCTGTACGCATTTTTGCTGTCTCAGCGGCATACTGTTCACGAACCCGACACGTGATGACTAAATAAACACACGAATGGTAAAGACTATGACGGGTCGGTTATCCTGAGAAAAGCGTCTGGAACAATCATTGCCTACCCGTAGACACCAAGATCCGGCTGTTGTGCTATCTTCAGTGATGTGCGGCAGTGAGACCTGACAGCGCAGAAGAAATTTTTTTTACCTATTTCAATTGCATTGCCTTTGATAAGTCTGTTGTGTCAAATGGAATAAGAGAATCCTGAGCACGGAAGCTAGCACTGTTCAGTTCAATTCAGTGCAATCCAAAACCAGCCCCACCGTGTTTAGTCGAAACGAATGGCCGAAACTCGTATCGCCAAGAAACTTGTCTAAGGACAAGTAGGGACGTCTGAGGTTCCGCTATTGAGACATGTTTTAGGAATACGTAACTTTCATTTTGGGTCTTACTAGGTCCTGGGGTAACGGTGATACTACTGATGGGGAGGCATGCGAGTAGTATGTTTTCTTGTAAATCCGATTGAAAAGGGAGATCTATTGCGGATTTGTGGACTCGCTTTGTAGCATTTGTTTGGACTTGAGCAACACTTAATGAATATCCAGGAAAGTTAAGGAAGACGCGTTCAAGAGAAGATGGATGTTCAGTTTTTGTAATTAAGATACATTATGAGAGTTTTGCTTTCCTGTCCAATAGTCTGTAACTGGTCAGTTGGCATTTTCTGATAAGTAACTGCGCAGCGAAGGCCTTCTTCCGTTCACCGGTACTAGACACAATAGCTATTCAGGCCGGCGCGAGAAGTTTTGAGGGGCGACACGTTGCGATGCTAGAAAACAATCGAGTCATTTGGAACAGGTTGAGTCTCCCTAAGGTAGCCTCGACCATCTAGACTTGCGCAACATGTGGACTCACATTCTTTGGTGGGATCGGTAACCAACATTCACACTAGTCTACATGCTAAACATAACCTGGACTCGAAGTACGTTTGCTTGCTGGATGTTGTCATGCTAAAATGGTGGCCATCATCAACCTTATGGTTAATGTAATACCACCAGGCTGCTCTTGATAGCATATGCGTGCTGCTGTAGTGAGAGCGTTGTAGCAGTATGCTGAAACTTAGAGGAATCGACGCCGGTACCTCGATGGTAAACATGTAACTGGTGCTGACACATTGTTACGCCATCATATTTAAGTGGACTGGTGGTTTGCTAACGGTCCTGAATGCTCACCGGCCGATCTTATTACTTCGGGTGTACTTCGTCTCCAGGGACCTGCGCGCCGCATAAGACGTTCGTAGCTTCCTACTGTACACAGACACCCACTGGTTTGACGCCTGTTGAATCCGATTTAAATGCCAGTTTTTCATTGCTGCCAATGGTGATGATGGCCATTATACGGGACTACATGTATTGATATTGAATGCACAGGGGCATTGAATATCTGGAGCATTCTGTTCAGACGATCTGCAGTGATCTATCTTACTCTTGTCAACACCCCCTAAAGCATCAGGATACGAACACAACTTCAAGACCCCAGGCTGTTCATCCAGTGTTTTGCTGAATTTGTTCTTGCTAATTCAATTTCCTTGAAATCCGTCGCGAATGACATGGCGGGCATCCCGACCCCCACATTCAGCCATAAATAACGGAGTTCATCATCTGTATATCGCCCGTATCAATGTCGGAGTACCCTTTCAAGTCAGATCAAGTCAGTCAGGCCGCGGGCGGAAGGGAAAAACGTCAGCTGAGAGCTATAAATAAGGTGAATTGTCATTTGAAGCACTTTTTCAAGATCCTTGGATCAGGAGAACGTTCTCTATTTATTGAAATCGTTTTCGAAATCAGGCTGATCATCCTGTTCTCACTAGGGTTAATACTCCTCTGTCGTGGAGGAGAAAAATACGAACAAAGTCTTATTTACTCTACGTACGAAGAAGTTTTGTTTCCGTCAGCAAAGCTTTCGAGGGGATTATCCATCGTGATTGACTGAAGAGAACGCATGATCCGAAATAGTTCAAGAATGTTTGCACTAACTGTTTCACCTATCACGTTTTGCTTCGCAGTCTCATTGGTACAACTGCAGTCTTCCGAATGGCCACACAAATGCAGACGCAGCTGCGGTGGATCACTTACTATCCACCGGTTTCGCTCCAGACGATCTCCGGTTTGCTGTTCTTGACCAGACTCCCGGGCGTGGTGCAGTTTACGTCATCGACCCGATTACCAGTGCCAACCGGCAGGCCTGGGTTGTACAGCTCCGTGACATCCAGCGAATGCAGCAAGAATTCCTACTGGCGCTCCAGGATCCACGAAGATTTAACACGGGTAATCGCGATGATAACTGGGGTAAGCATCAGGTGTTTGAATGCTGCTTTGCTTTAGTTACACTGATGTCGTCACTTTCCATAGGATTCCCCTTTGAAGGAAGCGTTTTTGTTACCGAATAGCATTCATTCACACATTCAATACTCTTGTACGATCCTGTCGTCGAACTTCGTATATGTTATTATAAGTATCTAATCCTGTAGACGTTGTCTGAGAAAACGAATGCGCTTCTCACGTAGCTCATACATTTGGTATTTAGCTCAATGAATAATTCAGTGACTGAGGTTTGGTTTGGCGATCACAGGTTCGGTTCCGTAATGCATGATACGGAACCAGAATCGAGTATCGATGTTTAATTCCCGAACGCTACTGACTCCCCACTGAATTGCTTAACTTCAGCAGGTGGGGCGTGAATCCGTGACCACCAAACCGGATTTCATCAAGGTACATTGACCGCGTCTTCACGTCACATAAAGTACTTGAGTTGTGCCACATACCACGGATTGACGATGGCGGTTTCCCATCTAGTGGGCCTGCCAATCGCAATCTGTAGAGGGAGATCATTTTTCTTTCAACTATGCTTGGAAAAAGAGGGATCTCCGCGAAGTTTGTGAATATGGTCCGCATCCTTTATTTCCACTCGTCTGGTCTTGTAAGGGTTCAAAACTTTCCTTTCAAATTGTGGGTCTGTCACCTTTCTCCCTTCTGTTCACTTTTGACATGAACATCACGGAATGCGCACCTCAAGGAACTATAAACCTTGGTGTCGAAATCATATCTAAATAAAGGCTGCTGGGCTACACCTACGAAATTTTATTGTTACCTGGCAACATTGACTTCTTCTTTCGTTGTTTGTTTCTTCGGGATTTCCAACCCTCACTGCCCAGCTACGGGGAGGATAGGTCTAATCCGTCTACAAGCATACACATCTTCACGGCCTCGTAAACTGTGATCGTACTGTGACAGATGAAGTCGACACATGTCGTTTATAGCGCCGCATTATTTACCGTCATCTGTGATATCGGTAAAGATTTTCACTGAAGTTACAGTTGCTTTCACAAGACACTAGTAACAAGTTTCTACTTTTGTGGTCAAGGAACTTGGCCTCTCCGTTCCGCAGACCTTCAACATCCTCAAGGTTTTATCATTGGTGCCTTAGCCTTAGTCGACTGGAGTGTATTCGCAACGAAGTGTTGCTTAAGCGAGTACTTAGCAATGACCGCGGTCTCTTGAGAGACGAATGAAGCTGATCAGATGAAGGTGCATCTACAGTAAATGTCCGACCAGCATCTACCAAAGTAGCCTTGGGTCGCCCAGTGAATGGCAACCCCGTTTTGAAACCCACGTAGTCGCATTCAAACTGGATGCCAGCCCGTGTCTTGGGGTTGCAACAATGTTTCACCAACAAAGTCATAGAAGAAATTTTTTTACTCAGATCCCTAGTTGACCAAAGGTTCGAATGGACCGGCGATGATATGGTAACGCGGATTGTAACTCAAAGTGTAGTGCCGTGAGATCTTCATACCTTTCTCTTTTGGGTTCTACGCAATTCTGCTGGAAACATCATCGGGCCTGGCAGGTAACAAGTCCTAGTGGACAGCCTATTTTCACTTCCTAGCCAGACTGGTTGCCTAACGTTCGTATTTCGTTGTATACGGTGTTCCTGTTGAGTGAGCTTCGCAAAGATCCTTAGCTCCCACATCGATATGATGCTTATTGCTATTCGGGGTCACCGAAACCTTGATCTTTATCTCGAAGTGTATAAGGTTTTCTAAAATAATTCCGTCCTCGCCCCTGTTTTCCGGCCATTCGCCAGGACTTTTTTACACCATCATAGCAATGTAGTTCCGTACAAGTATATCCCAAAGTTAACGTTTAGGCAGTGGCTTGTATAAGAAGCGATCCTCTTGTACCTTCACGGTAGTTTATGTCAGTATAATGCTTACGCAGTTATTGGATCTCCGTGAATTAGACCTATCACCAAGGTGACCGTTCGTGCACCTTTGCAAGTATTTGGGCTTTGCTGGATTATACGCGTGCAGTATCCACATAGCCTCTCCTACCAGGTCGGGCAGTGGATAGAAGTCTGACGAATACAGACTCCTGGCCCTCCAGGTTGGGAGTTGGAACAAGTGTGGCAAACTACTCTGTAAAAGTTGGACTAGTGCGGTATTCTTACGCCTATCAGGTTTTCGCGCCAAGGGCTGTGGTCTGGTGACATCAGCCAGCTCGCCCTACCCACTGCGTACAACACAGCGAACAAGCAATAACATACGACTCATGGCGTCTTCCATTTTCATCATTGTTTCCCAACTTCCCTCCTGCTTCATCTGACGACCACATTTCCACAGAGCTCTCCTTCGGACAGACCACCGACAGAGACTGACCAGAAGTGCGAATCTTTTGAGAATAATGACCTTTTCTGGGCGTGATTTCTCTACGACAAGACAGCTATAACAATTTAAGTGGGTGAAGTACAACCATGTTGTTAGGGTTTCATTTGTACTAGTGCGTGCTACGCTTATTTGTCCCACCTAATAGGAGACATCTACTACCAGACAACACTCTCGATTGCTTACCACACACTGATCCATTACTCATCAGCCAGATTGCTTATGCATGCCTCTCTGGGTGTAATGTTCCTGAGAAATTCTGGTAAGTTAGACAACCGAACTGTTCAGACGGATATCACATGCTTCTATAACCACGGTTGTCTTTGTCCGACTAAGCGATTTGTTCTCACTATTCCTTCTCCATTTCAGGTGTAGATTTAGACACCTCGGATGGGCATTCTTCGCGTCACGAGCCCCAGCCTCCTGTGGTTTCCGTTCACAACGATCAACCCGCCGCTGTCGCACAATCACAACCTCAAAGGCAGCGCAAATGGCCCAGCTTTACAGTTAAACGTCCTGCTCGCATAGGTTCGACCTCATCACCAAGTGCTGGACCAAAAGATGCCAGCAGCCCTATTACTAAGCCCACTGGTTCGTCTATGCCTGAGTCGTCAAATGATAGAACGGCTAGTTTGGCTCGCTCGTTGTCGGCTGAACGCAGGACGTTCGTCCGAACTAAATTAGACATGGGAACTAGTGTATCAGATTCCAAGTTCTTAGACAATCCAGACTCTTCTACAACGGAGTACCGAAAATCCTCTTTGAGTGCGAGCAGTTCGATCAAGATCTCACACGAAATCCGAGTAAGTCTGCCTCCATTTTTTAAACAACTAGCTTTTCCGTATCCAACCTGTTCTGGCGCGATCAGATGTTGATCTTGGTTAAAAGATGTTGACTGTCTACTCGACCACACTAGGTTGCATGCAGTGTGCCAAAGATGATTCGGTCAAGTGCCCGTAATTTAAGAGGATATCAATGAAAAAAATACTTTGTTCAATAAAGCTCTGTTATTTAGTTGCAACAGCAATGAGGCTTAAATAAATGATTCAGCACCCTTTCGGTACCTTACTGCTATACCATCAGAAGGAATCAAGAGGGCTGGGATACTGCTAGCTTGCCCAAGCCTAGACAGGGAAAGTCGAGAGGCAGAGGTCGGGTTCGAACCACGGACCTTCTGGCCAGTAAATTCGCGCTCTAACTACTGCGCCATCTCGCCCCCGCAAACTTTCATCTGATACTACCGCACGACGCCTGGTCTGTGGTTACTAATGCGAGTTCTAGACTATTGATCAGGCGGGCCAGTATGCTGTGAATCACGCGTGAAGTCTAGCAGCATACGTAACGCGCGAGACCAGGCCTTTGCTAGCACAACTATCGGGATAGCTGTCCACTTTGGTTGACTTTGGTGTTGCTAGCATTATAACGAATGCGGAATAAACTGTTTGGCAAAATGGGCGTAGTTTCTTACCAACCGTTGAACTCACGCATCGCACCACAGTACTGCCGTTTATGTGGGTTGGTTTTAACCAAGCAGCTCCGCCTCGATTCCAATTCAAGCTTTGGTCATGACCTTTCAGCTTGGCTTTCATACTACCATGTCACTAATTAGGTTGGACCTGTTATCGACTATAGCCTGTGTGCTGCACGGAACAGTCATTGGAAATAGATTCCCAAATATGAGACACGCACAAAATAACAGCAGGACGTCCGCTAACCCGTGTTTCTCCCGCCGGAAACACTCAAGAATACAATTATTCTCGATCAATTGTAGTTTGCATTCTAGTCCCGCTTGCATCGCAGAGCATTGCTTCACATTTCTATCTTCGTGTTGTTCGAATTTACCGCAACCGCATGTAGACGGCACATGTGGCCGTACCTCAGTACTGTGTTAGTCTTCTAAATGAGTAAACTTACTGGGTGAGTATTGTGGTAGTCGAACATCATTTGTCACGTGACTCCAGGCCAGAGGCCATGATAGATTGTATTGTGTAGGTAAGTGTGCCTTGTGGAAGTAACAGCGCGGAGGTAGGAAGGGAGCATTCGCTTCTTATCCGTACACAGTTTGGCGCCATACCTCTTGCTGATAAGCCACTAGTATTCCAGCCGGAATGTCGCGGGTTCGAATATTTCGAGAGATAATCATGGAAAAGCTCTAGTGTGTCTTGGCTCGTCAACATAGATTGACCTTACTAGCAAATGAAATCGTGAGTGAATGCTGATACTCCCATATTCCTAAACACAACATCTCTTTTTCGACCTGGGCAACCGGGGAGTATCATTCGCCCTTGCAGCCCTTCGCTCATCGGTCTTCTCCCACACTCCATCCCCTAGCCACTATTCCTTGTCTAAACCTCCGCCCAGAAAAATAAACCAAAATAATCATTAAATAACCCCAAAGGATATGATCCACGTTGCAGCCTTTACTGTCCGTCCTCTATGTCAAGTTGGGTAACAGGCATCTCTTACTGTATGTTGTGTCCCCGAAGCACGCCTACAAGATCGACCCCATTTCAGTCGTACTCCTCAAGCCGCTTAGGACGAGCTCAGATGTTCCACATTTCACTCTTCCGCTATCCGGTGTTCCTGGTGCAATGACTCGTGGTATCTACGGTGTGGTAGTTACACTCAGCTCCAGGACTGGTTCTCCTAAACAGTAGTAGTTCCTGCGCTGTGCGGTTGTCTGACTCAGTTGAAATCTATTCAGATCGATGTAGTAAATGGTGCTTATTTGTCGTATCAGAATATGTCCCACACAGTGCAGTTATGAGACTAAGAAGGATGTGTTTTATCAAGATCTGTCATGACTACTTCGGTGGGTAAGAAGGACGAATATAGTAACCCTGGCGGTTAGTGTGAATGCCCAAGTTGGACGATCAAGAAGCACAGTTAGGTGGTAGATTTGGAGTCCATACTGAGCGTACCAATGATGGGGAGCGAGTTCTTCAGTTGTCTGTTCCTAGCCAACACGAACTTCCAACACAAACGCTCACATCGAGATACTAGGAGGCCACCTACTGGAAGACAATCGTGGTCTCTGTTCGACCACGTGAGAGAGACCGGTGGAGAGACTCAGTTAGGGTTTGTCGTTCCTCTAGGGTACGCAACCTGACTCTGATCGCGCCATCATGAAGGTCCGGTTAGCACTTCGCTTCCCGGCAGCATTACACATGCCAAAGGAGAGCAACTCCGTTAATCAACTTTGACAAGTTTCACTGGCTGAAGAATTTCGAGTTGAAACGCACACTCGTGCGAATGACGAAGATTGCGTGAATGTTAGATGGACGCGAGTTAAAGAAGCAATGCTGCCGGCTTTCAGAACTGTCCTGCCCATCTGACTCGACCAGATGAATACTGAATATCATCGAGATCAACAGAACTTATTGATGCCAGAAAGGCCATACCAGCAACTAGCGACTATGACGGTGCACGCAGATCCCTCAAGCACCGGATAATCATGAGCTTGAAGAATGACAGAGAACGCTGCTGGATTTCGAAGGCTCAGAGATGTAGAAGGCTTTCAGTAACGTTGTCCTATGCACAGAGAACATAAGAAAATGTCAGTGTTTGACCATTGGTGTCTCTGAAGCATTGGTCTGGTCTGGTGAGGACATCGGATTCTTAATGCTGTGGTACGCCAGATGGTCTTAGGAAGAAGGGACTCTCCCTCGATAGAGGAATTACCCACGCTTTATAGGTTACGCTGGTTGGTGCACGTCAGAGGACCGTCTACCTCACAGAGCTCTTTTTCCCAGCCTTGTACTGAGTGGCAGTGACCAAGAGGTGGACCTGGTAACGAATTACGAAAACACTTAGCAGTAAACTTGGTTGGGTGGGCAACTGCCGCCTCCCTGGATGCGGACCCCGGGACTCAAATTGTCAACAGCTAATGACATTCGCAGAAATAGCCCAATCGTACGGTCAATGACGCTCGTGCATCTGTCTAATGTGGGTCCAAGTGGAACATAAGGTTGACGGAAACTGTGCCTATCTGACGAGCCCCAAGAAGGACGAAACCGGTGGTGGGCTGTCGAAGAGTTTTCAGCAACATTATGAGTAGTGTATTATTACTGTATGCGAAGTCATGAAACTGCACTGGTCAAAACCAGCATACATATGGGGGAATCGGGTGGTTATAAGATTCACATTCACAACACTGGTTTGAACAGTCATCCTACGGTCCTGGTGCAAATAATATGGTGAATCGGCACCAAACGAATTTCGTCCGTACTAAGGCTCATCAGCTGTGTATGGCCTTGGCCGTGTTTGGGTTTGAACTCCGGGCATCTGACATGCGAGGCGAGCACGTGTCCAGCGCCCTCAATGCGTAGCCACCCAGTACTCACTTCCCAGGCTTGTCTCTATGTTCCACTCTCTCCCGTTTACCGTTGATCAGGAATGTAGCAACTGGAACCAATGTGCCTATGATACACGGTTTATAGCTGATAAGTTTAATTGAATTGAGTCGTCAGTGAATGTTGATACTTTCATATTCCTAAAACACGACATCCAACAGCTAACAATTTTGGGCAGACTGTTCTCACGAGCGGTATACAAATGCCTACCTATGTGATGCAGATGTCATCCTCACCATCCGCATAACGTTCTTGTTGTGTTTTATGAGAACGATCCTGATACTTCGCTAAGGTGTGTTTATTCAAATGAGTAGAAACTTGTACACCGCAGACAATTCCTAAAATAAACCTTAGCCAAATCGATTGATAGAAACGTAGCTAAAAATAACCACTTTCAGGTTTGAATGGACATTGGATTGTATAGAAAGTGCGACCAGTGAAGATTCTCACCGTGCGTACTGTCGCGTGATGCCCACAACTATCGCCCCTCGTCCTGAGAATTCCCTTTGATTCGACTTCTCCAACACGCGTCCGTTCTCGGTAGATGCGCAGATTTTTTCCACGGACATATCGATCTTTATCTCGCGTACCATTGGCTGTCCAGTCGACTCAGTAGACGAGACTGCTGCGTCTCCCTATAGTATACTTATTTTCCCGCCCATATGCTCGTAGCACTCGATCAGAATTCATTCGTTATCGCTGCGAATCCACAATGGATCACGGATCATGGGGCCGCTGCAAGCTGTCAACCTTCCACCGGTTTCGCGGTCACGGTTATCAGAGCCACCTAATCACAGCTAGTCGTTGTTACCTACCGCTTCAATCTGTTTTAACACAGTGTGTCGAGTATGGTGAACCTAGTGGATGTACTTTGAGAGACCCGTAAGACCAGTCACTCAGACCTGTGAGTCCACGCAGTACACCCACTAAGTGATCCGGCTACTGAACACTTTATCCGATTATGGTGGATGTGACATCTGGAGTTGCGCGCCCTCACCATGCCTGCCGCAAGCAATTTGGGGTGCCCACAATTGCAAACACTCAATCTGACAATCTCAAAAGAAACTGGTTGTACGAATGCCTTGTTCCCAGCCAACCAAGCGCTAGTCGCACTGGATTCGCACGAACAGATAAGATAAAAAAAAGATAATCGTTCAGCTGTAACACCCTTTCGCTGCCTAGCTTCCATGCTGCAACCCGAAGGAGGTTCGAGGGCTGGCATACTGCCAGGTTGCCCAAGCCTGGACAGAAGAAGTCGAGAGGTAGAGGTTGGGTTCGAATCACGGGTCAGTAAATTCGCGCTCTAACCACTCAGCCATCTCGCCCACCCCCTGAGATATGACCACTCTTGGTCATTCTGTGGAACAGTTTCGTGTTGCTATTTCGTGCCTCCGGCGGAATCAAGTAATTCAAGGGTTTAATGGTCTAAAAAGCAATTAACTTTACAACGACCATAGAGTGAACGTATATATACAAACGGGCGCAAAAATATGCATAATGCTTACTGAGTATCACATGGAGTTAAACAGTTCCAGATTCGGTTTGGATATAAGATATGCATCTAAATTGTTCTTGAAAATGGTTAAACTCGGCGAATCTACAACATTGGGAGGTAGGGAGTTCCAAATGAAACATACACGGACCGCAAAAAAGTTCCGTCGACAGTTCAC